GCCTTTTGAATCATTTATATATGAACTATAACTTCCTGCCACGGTAATTATACAACTCTCTGCGGCCCGCCAGCGTAAAAATAAAGCGCGAAACGCCCTAACGACTGCTGCTGCCCTACAGGGAGAATTCGTCTCTTTTCCATGTCTGCCGCCATTTGACATTCGATGTGTGCACTGATGATGACGCCGGTGACTCCTTTTTTTTGTGTACATTGCACACGGACATTTTTGTTGCAGCGGTATAATGATGTCATTAGGGAGGCTCTCTCTCTGTCTGTCTCTCTCTCTCTCTCTCTCTCTCTTTCACACAGTCAGACGCACGTTCATTTAGAAAATTTTCTTTTTTCGTTTCGTCTTTTTCGGAATAGAAGCTTACATAACTTTTGTCTGATGGCTGAGACGAGAGTCTAAATAGATGGTAAGATACTGAAAACTGTCCTTTTTTACACTCTATTCTTACAGTCAATGTTTCATAATCTTTTATTCATTTCAACAGAAAGGTTTAATAACTTCACTGCTACGTAATTTATTTTTTATATACCATCGCTCCAAATTTTACATTTCTATCGCCCTACAGAGATTATTTAAATTATCATATAAATGCACGAACACATGCTACCCGTTTCAAAATCCGTTGGGGTTGGAATGTATAATTTTCTTTTTTTTCGACGAGGATTACGAGAGTATAATGGGGAAACGATGGGCTCTGGAATTCGGCACGTAGGTGTCTGAAGTCTGCATAAATTGCTTCCTTCTTTTCTTTTCATCTTTCTGATTTTTTTTAATAACGCGTACATACGTCATCACATCGCGTGACAGAATTATTGGTTCATTCCGTAGTTTCAGTTATTTTTTTTATGTTTACAAGGAACTGCATTTTAATGTGATTTTTATCCGTCATCCGGTGTGCATCTACGCTTCCTCTTTTTCGACATTCATGGAAAACATATGTCGCCAAGTTTTGCCAGCAGTGAGTCACGTCGGAAATAAATATTTCTGTGAGAGATGGGCAAAATTTATGGGAATTTTTCGTGACATTTTTGAAAATTGTAAGAAAATAAATATACGGAGGAAGTTTTGGCTATGCTAATGACAACATTAATTTAAAGTGAAACTTATTTTTGAAATTGTACTCAGTCGTTAAGCATTAGCTATCGCGAAACGAGCAAATTTCGAAAAACTAAATGTCAGCAAAATGGACATTCCCAGAGGAAGAAAATACGCTTGACAAAAGTCATTGCGGTGTTTTTCATTCTTGACTTACTTTCATCTCTATCGTACACAAGTACACACAAAGATCCCGAGCGAGACTTAAAGAATTATTATTTTAATTACCGAGCATTTGCAAGCGAGAACGAACGGAGTAGGAGGGAAGAGGTCGGCCTCCTTTTAAAGTCGTCGTACGCGCCTCTTCATTTAACGCCGCTCGGTCGCAAGAGAGCTTGGCTTTAATTAATTTTCATGCGCGGCGAGGCAGCAGCGGCAGCTCGTGCGACTTTTTTCCTCCTGCATTTTTTGTTGCTCTACCTGATACAAGCCGTTTCTCGCTTACCTGCTGTTTTTTTTTTATTTTTTGTCGACGCTTTAGAATATTTTCCACTGCCTGAGTAAAACCAACTTCAAAGTTGAGACATTTCCGACGCGTTCTCAACTCAACATTTTAAAGTGTTTATTAGTTCTTTGACTTGCCATACGATTTCTTAGACGAAAATTTATTTTTACGCGTAGCAGTCGGCTAAAATTATGTGCTTGCAAATGTGAAGTTGCAAACATACAAACGTTATACCGATGTTTTATAAAGCAGGGACTGTGACTTTGACAACGAACAGTTTTCCGTAATTATTTTTTTCAAACTCCTTTGGAAAAACGTCGATTAATAATGTGTAAAGAAATGAAATTTAACCATGTAACGATTTTGAAGAATAATCGTCGTCCAATGCATTAAACCAATTTGTAAAAAAAAGTGCAGTATCCAATTTTACTGACTTTGCCTATATACAAAGTATTCTCCTAAGAAATTTGTACGATATCGATGTCGCAAAAGTTTAAGCAGAAAAGAGAGAGACAGAGAGCAAGTTTGCAAGTAACTTGAAACGAATTTTCTTTTTTCCCTTTCTCTCTCTCTCTCTCTCTCTCATCGCATCGATAACTTCGGCTACGTCGACCGCAAAAGTTAGCCGATACAACAAGGATAGTGCTCCTAACGCGATTTAGCTCGAGGCTACATGGTAATCGCCACCTCGACGGCAGCGATGCAAGGTTTAACTTTAAGCATCGCGACAACGAAGCCGGTTAGTGCCATTGTAGACTTGATTATATCGCACTAGCAAAACTTTTATACGCATATACGAAGATTAAAGTGCGCGGTGATGGATGAGAAAATGTTAGAAAACTCAAGCTTAATGGACCTCTTTTCTCACCTTAGCGTTGCAGGTAAATTATACAGCTTTTCTTCTTCCACTGTATACTGAATTTGCGATGGAGTATTCTTTTCAGCCGCTTAATTTTAATGCAGTGTATGATGGATTGCTCAGTTCATTTCACAAACTCGGAAGCTTTTTCAGCTTGTAGGCTCATTAAACGCAGCTGCTCGGCCGAATGGTGATTCGGTTGACATCAAAAATAATGAGGACTATGCTATTTTGATTATCAAAAAGTCGATAAATCATTGTCAAGCCGAAATAATAAGCTGTGTAAACATCAGTCAAGAAGCACTTGTTCAAAAATTCATCCGAGTTAATTTGAGTTAGAACACACTCCGGCAAAGACAAGAGAAAGCCAAAAGGAAGTACATAAGATGAAAGATAAGATATGACAAGCTCCGCGTGGCGGTAAAAACACAACAGCGTTTTGGCCTATAATGCGAGCAATCAGCCGGTTGGCAGAAAAGCATTGGAAGCATAAAACCATCGTATGAATCCTAACAAGCGTCAAGAGCGTGCAGTGGCGGCTTCTTTTCACTAATTTGGCGCTGTCAGCGATGCCACTTGTCATTCCATCGCAGATTTTAATGGCTCGCCCTCTTTAAACTCCCATGGGACTCGTGCTCTCTCTCTCTCTCTCTCTCTCTCTCTCTCTCTCTCTCTCTCTCTCTCTCTCTCTCTCCTCTCTCTCTCTCTCTCTCTCTTTCTCCTTTGGGTTTTATCGTCTGTGGCGTCTTTTCTTTCTTCTTACACTCGTTCATTTTTTTTTATATCTTTCTTGTTTTCTTTTCGTCACTTTTAGTCTGCGGCGAAAAGGGCTTAGCCAAGCGTGAAAGTCGCGCAGGAAGCGCGCTCCGCTCCATGTGCGCGATGCGCATACTACCACTACCGCACGCGCGTGGGCGAGTGCATTGAAATGCTACGTTGCCTGCTCGCGTGCTATTGAGTCAGAAGAGAAAAAAAATTGCGAGCTTTTGAACGTTTCTCGACGACAATGATTGAGGCAATGAAAACACAGCTATACGTATGTCGCAAACTTACATTTTTAGGACAGTTTTTAAAAAATATAAATTATACGATGTCATATGACTGACTACTTTTTCTGTTCGCTATTTCTGCGTTTGAGGAAATTTTATCCAAGCAAAACGTGAAAATTATTGTTTCTCTTTAACCAAAATATAAAAACTAACAATAGCTATATTGTAAAAGTTACTCAATCTCAAAATGAACTAATTGTTCGTGAAAAATAACTGTCAACGAAAAAAAAAATGTGTCGAAATACTCAGTCGGGAAATGAAAAACTGCTGGCTGCAAAAAAAAGCGTATTTTCGCAAAAAAGCATACGAGGGCACTGTATGCCAGGCAAAATACATATACAGGAACTACAGAATTGCCACTGCTTCCTCTCTTTCCCTTTTTCTCTCTTCCTCTCTATACTACGTGCAGCAGGACAGAATTGAAATTTAAATGATTCGGCGGCTGGACGTCGAGTCTCTCTGTCTCGCTCTCTCTCTCTCTCTCTCTCTCTCTCTCTCTATCTATCGTTTTGATCTATGGCTTTTTAAATGCATTCTCTATATACCCACACACGGCTACATGATTTGAAAAAGACCGATCTTCCTGGATTTGGTCAGGATGTGATTTCCATATCCCCAGACACTTTTTTCACTGGCCCTTTTATATCTTTCACATTCGTTCGCTGGAAGAATTTCCGATATCGTAATAAACGTCGTTGAGTTTACTTAGCAATCTGATTTCAATTTTGCTCAATATAGTTTCTTTCTGTTTCCGAATAAAAATATTGAAAGATTGTCGTTCAACTTTGTTCACGCCTCACAAAAACGTATGGAAAACGCATGTACTTACCTTACTTTACGCTTTCATTTTCCTTAGTTTGAAATTAATCGGTCGTATTTAGTTTCAATTGAAATGCATACTTATGTAGCAAAACGAAAGTAATCAAACCGATACTCAATACATCACTTGAAATTTATTCTATCAGGCTCTCGTGTCTGGATACTCAAAAGAAAAAGCAATCGATCGTACCAATTTAAATAATCAATATCCTTTAATCTCCAAATAGCAAAGATGAATAAAAAATAAATTTTGACGTTACTGTCCGAGAGTGGCGCAAGTGAAAACAATAACTATATTAAAACTTGACATGAAAAGAAAAATCCACTCTAAATATTGAATAAATGTCACGGAAATTCAGTTTAATCAGTTAAAAGCTTTTCCGCGAGTGTTGCTCGCCGATAACATCGGGCAAATAGCTCGGAATAATCCACACAGCTTTATCCGTTGACATTTTAACCTCCTGAAAAACAGTCGAAAAAAAGCAAAAAATACAAAGATACGGAGGAAGTTTCAAGGAAATGTAGGAAAGACGTGATTATATAATAATGCTAATTTATGGATTCACTAAAAGTTTATTTCGTCCATTGGACATGAAATGTGTGTTGTTGTTGTCGGTTGATTTTTTTTCTTCGTGAGTGTTTACATTTTTATCTATATCGTCGTATATTCTGTATATATATATATATATATATATATATATATATATATATCTCGCTCGGAACTCATATATATATATATATGATCGTCGTTACAATTCGTCACACTCGTACGCGTCGAGCATATACAGAAATTGAAATACACAGGGGCGCGTCGCATACGTGAATATATCAAATGCATACACTTAATAATTACACTCAATTGTTCGTGACGTCGCTTTACACTTTCTCTCGCTCTTACTCGCATATTCAGACACGTACCCGCAGAAGTTTACATGTACAAGTATAATAGAATATGTAATATGCGCTTATGTATAAATTATGATACAGTTATTTACAGGAAAAAATTGAAAAATGAATGAAAAAAAGCTCCATTCCCGGCTCCGTTTTACATTCTATTTATAATTGCGCGCGCTTCCTCTGTCTCTTTCGCTCCTATTTATAAATTACAAGTGTCCTATGTACATCCAAGAGAATTAATGCGCAAGCTCGGGTAGATGTGTGCCGTGTGTGCGCATATGTAAAAGCGCGCAAGCGATAATCCGCTGCGATAAATCGCGGACGTATGCGCGCTCGCGGAACGGAGAAAGAGCAGTTTCTCTAATCGCTACGAGATGCCTAGAGGAATTTACCGAGTGGCGCTTCTCGCTGTATTTTTTTTTCTCTTTTCTTAACTTTTATACGTCTGTGCGTTGTCTACGAAGCCGTGAAAACATTGCGTCGCTCTTGGCCCAACGTTTTATTAGTTAATGTCTTTTAGAAATATTTGCGAACGTAAAAAAGTGAACAATTGGATTTTTCTGGTTCGGGTCGAAATAGACTCTGATACATACTTTTTCAGTCTTTTGTAAACGCTCAGTCCATTCTTTCGGATAGAACGTGTACTTACTAACAAGATTGATAGCATGTATGAAAACTCATACTCAACATTGAGTATACTTATTATATATGGAATCGTATTTTTTTATATCTGAAAAGAAGGCTAAAGAAACGCACAGGCAGTGTCGCTTTATAAACAAGTTCCTTTTTTGAAACATGCTTTCATTTGTGCCCACTCATAGAATTTAGTAATACTTAACAAATATTTTCCTAAATATCAGAGATTTGTTCAGTTTTGAAAAGTTCCACCTATATCCACGAAGAATATTCCATAAAAAAAGATGACGAGCACGAAAGTAATCACGTGCTTAACTGTTCCAGACGTCTCTACCACATCACGAAGAGAAAAAGCAAATCTAAGAAAGGATGGAAGCAACGATAAAATAGAAAGAAAAAACGGATTGCCGGCAGACGCATAGGCAGTGCGAAATCTTATCGAGGCATGTCGGCCGTAGCATCAACGCTGTTGTTGTAGCGAGCCCCATTATCGTGGGTTAAAAGCGCGAGGATTGCTCTGCAGCGCGGGCGCGTGATTTGGCCGAACAAAAGGAGCTAACAAAGCATCCGCGCGTTAAATATGAAAGAGGCGCTCGCGTTCGCATCCCGACAAGACTTTTAATGAAGACGAACAATCGCACGAGCTAGCCTGCAACGCCATTGTTTTGCTACATAGCCGCTACAATTTTCGGCTATTTATTATCGGGTGTTTAGTACATGCCTAGCGACTGATCGACTGCGCATCGAACAGCGTAGAGCCGTTCGCTCCGGCAGTGCTTTGAACCGCCTCTGCCGATCAAATGGCGCTTGCCGCAGTAACAAATAACGCTTATTGTTCAGCGACGGATAAAAAAGAGGAGTCTTGTCAGCGAGTGCAATGGCTCGTCGATAATGCTGACGAAAAAAGAAATAGGACAAAAATAACGATGCGCTGCTACGGCTGATGCGTCTCTTGCTCATTGCGGAATTATTGTGGTTAGACTCGACAAAGGCAGATAGTAGAATTGGTTATCGGTGCTGGAGTATTTACAGTGCGGGCGTTCCCGTAGACATCTCTTTTACGCTCGTTTACCTCTTTTTCGCGTGCACAGATCAAAGGCATGAAATTTTTATTACGTTACGCCGTAATGAACCAAGGAAAATTGTTTCAGGAAAATTTTTTTTCGTTGGACAACGTTTAAAACAAGCAACGCGATCGCTCGAGTTGGTCGTGGTGCCAATCATACACAACATTCTAATAGTTATACAAAAGTCCGACAGTTACATCGTTATACATCATGTTTTTTTTCTTTTTATTTGTTGTGTACAAGTCTCGTTCTTTATATACGCGATATTGATTTCAGGATTATTAAAAATCTAGTCAATAGTGTCTATCGTATATAATATACTTTATATATATATATATATATATATATATATATATTTAATTTTCCGGTCGTTGTAGAAGATTGATGATTGTTTTCTCTATAAGAAGCTAACGATTTTTACCATCGCTCGCAAGTAGGTAACACGAATCATCAATTACTTTAAAAATATATGTATTCCAAGCGCAAACTTTGCAGTGCCAATAGCTGATAACTGAATGCTAGAGTTTTCAAAGTAATCGATGTCGTTTCCTTTTCTTTGATGATCCTAGCTAAAACCTATATCCGATAACGAACGAAACAAGAAGAATCCGCGAAAAATTCCGAGCAACGACAGAATGTGATTCGCGATACATATCACAATAGTATTAGGGTTTCCTGCGCTAACGCTGTCAGCCATTATTGTTGCCTCATCCCTGTATTGTCGATTTTTGTTTCGTACATCTAATATACCCCTTTTTTCGTTACAATAAGAAAGATTTTTTGTTTGTTTTATCGTTGCGTGAAGGCGACATCGGTAGAGTTTTCTTGCATTTTACAGAAATAGAATTGTCTATGCGGTGCGAGGAAGAAGGCAATCGTCGTTATCTCAAAGTCATGAAAATACTTTTTTTTCTCCCCGTATTTACAATATTATTTTCGTAGCCTAGGACTACTAGCAAACGTATAAAATGCGTTAAACGTTATTTGACGAACGACAATCGCCTTCTCCACTTTATGCTTAGTCGTTTTATACACGATGACGCGCGTCAACAGATGGAACAACGCGAATTAGAAAGAAGCTTCAAATTAAATCAGACGAAATACTAGATTTTCCGACGGTCGTTGAGCTCATAATACTTGGAAAGAAAAGCAATTACATTCAGAATATAGTAGATTGGAAACGATCGCGCTCCCGAAAACAGAATGTATTACGCACACGCACGCGAGTTCTCTATAATCTATCGATTATACATAGCGGTTATACTACAGACAAAATCAAAAATTTAAAAAGGTATAACGAAATCCGTCATATGAATGACGCTACGCGGGCAATAAATAAAAAATATACAGATCGGGTGGAACGCTGAAATTGTATCCTCGCATCATTTTTTACTTACATTTGTTTATTCGACGAGTCAGTCTTATTTGCGCGCGTGCGAAAGAAAGAAAATGTATACATACCACCCAAACAGATACGCATCGCGCAACTGTACAATGCCAGAGACAGCACGTCGTCGCATTTGTGACTTAGAAAAACGCTTTGAAATATATACATATCGACAATATGAAACCCATAGAAGAAGGGAGCGAACATAATCGTAAGTCGCTTAAAGCAGATACGAGCGCAGCGTGAAGGTGTTTTATATTTGATCTGAAAATAAAGGAACAGCGCACATGGTTGGCGTGGCGAAAGCAGCCAAGAAGATCATGATATGCCAATCGTCTAAACTATCATCGATAGCGATTATCCACAATTGAACGCTAGGTTTTATGCCAGATTGTTGCGCAGGCGCCGCCAGAGAGAGCATCACGTCGTTAAGTAGATGGGCGAGGTGTGATCGCACTTATCGACTGGCCTCGAAATGAATCTCAAAATTAATTCGAAACTCTACCTATGCACTCCGCATTCTTGCGCGCACCTTCTCCCATCAATATCATCTGGCTCTACAGCATGTCGCCGTATGAATTACTCACGTAGGCTCTGGTATAGAGTAGCGTGGATGCGGACGAGCTGGTCATGGTTCGTCTCGGCCAGCGATTATTACGACGTTGTTGGGCGAGCGGCGACTGTTGCGCACTCGCTGGGCCTTCGTCTCATGCGTATCGATGCAGAGAGTGATCGCGTCGCTTGCTACCCGCTCGCCCGTTGCGATCGCACATCAGGTCCGGACTTGGTGGACTTGAATATGTGAGATTGCTCGCACCACGTGACGGAGGCGCGCTCATTGGCGGTGGAGGTGGTGGGAAGAAACTCTGCAGACATGCCTGAGAACAAGCATAAGGAAAGCAACGAGAGCTTGAGATTATTTTGTGTTCTCAGACTGTAAGATAAAAAGTATTATTCTAAGCTTTTCTATTGACACTTTTTAAATGTCCTTCAAGAGAACCGATGAAGTCGCTAATGAAAAGCTAAATGAACAAAATTATTTGAGCCTGCAAGTGTACCCACCTTCGCGCTGCCCCTGGATGACTTAGAAAATATGCTGTCCTGATCACTACTTCCGCTAGGCACTGGCATCGGCACTGCATAATCGTAAGTCGCATCTGAAATTCAAAGCAAACGGAAAAAATTTTCTTCATTAATTTTCAACTCAATAATTCAAGTAACGATCTTTGATGTGATCGACTCCCTTTAAATTATTGTTTCTTATCTAATTCCAACTTTATCTCTATCAGCTATAGCTTCCTTAATAATCATTTAATAATTGAAATTCCCTTCCTCCAAAAAAAAATTAATAGAGCAAGTAAGACCATCATCATCGTGATCATCATCATCATCATCATCATCATCATCATCATCATCATCATCATCATCATCATCATCATCATCATCATCATCATCATCATCATCATCATCATCATTGTCATCATCATCATAGTCATGAATAATCTATAGCAGAGAACAGAGCCGCGCCTCTATTCGGGCATAATTTCCAAACACAAAAGCCCCTAAGGCGGCAGCGTCACTCACCGGACTGCTCGACGCTGTCGTGAAGATCCTTGTTGTCGATAACCACGGTGCTGTATCCGTAATAGGCAGCGTGCGCAGGCTCCCTGTATTTGGCGCTACCAGACTCGTGGAATGGCTCCTGATAATCGTCGAGTCTCACGTCTCCAAGAAGCCTGTCGTTCAGCTCTCGCGGCAAAGTCGTCAGTTTTGCACCGGCATACCTGTCGTCTAAATCCTCCACTCTGTACGCCATCAACGACGGATCCTTCTCCGCGGTTCCGTAAGCAGCTTCGTTCGCTAAAGCACCTGGCGGCAAGGCTGATTTCGTACCCAACGGACTAGCGAAATTCTTGCGTTGGCGGTGACGTGATACTATGAAGAAGATTGCTACTGCCAGTAGGAGAATTACTGCGGTTAGCACGCCGATTATCACAGCCATGTACGTCGGGTCGTCTTGCTTAGCAGTGGATACTGGAATTTCGGGGTGATGGTGCGGCGATTCACGCAGAGAGCCTCGCTCACGTGGGCGTGATGCTTCGGTTGTTGGCGTCGATTCGGGCGTAAAGTTACCGTGTGCCATGTCTGTAAATACAGAAAGAAAGACAACGTATCTTAGCAGTGTTTTTCACGATGCGTAAATTTTTTAATTCGCCCCTTCCCTTAAAAAAAAAAAAAACAATAAACAAATGAAAAGTTCAACATTAATTTGACACAAGTGCCCGCTCGATGTTCCCACTGTTAAAAAAAGACAAATCCATTACTAAGTGTCATTCCCTCTTGGCGCTTGCATATGAAAGTTTTGCCATAGGTTCAAGAGCACGAACGCATGTATATAGTTAACTGAAGTTACGTAAAACTTACCAGAGTCGAAGGTAATCTCGCTGATCATGATCCATCGAGCGGCAAAACCAAATCGTAACTTTACAAATTTGCCAATACGATGGTGAAGCTTGATCGTGACGTTGCGCGAGTATTCGAAAATCTTGTCCTCGATGGTATTGTAAACTATTGGGTCTCCAGTGTAATGCTTACCGCCGATGCTGAATAGTATACTCACGTCCGAGAACACCTGTAAAACAATTGGAAACAATAGAAATCTCGACACATTTTGCCACATTGTTCTTGAGAGAGAGATTTCGGAGATTTGGAAATAGGATCTCGGGAGAGTGAAATCTCGAGAACGTAATCGAGACAGAGAGATTTTAATCAACGGGAAGGTTTGTTTGCGATCTTATCACAGTTCGATTATTTCCGAGTTATCTGGTCAAATAGCTGTTTCGTGTCGAAACTTATCGAACCGTAGTTATATATACAGTAAAGTTGAGTAACATCATGCGCAGACGAATAACAACTCCATAAAATGAATTCACACTTGTTTTATGGAAATCAATGGCTACAATTCAAACTACTCGCGAGGGTTGAATTCGCTCGAATCACGATTCAAGAGGTAGAAAAACTATAGGCTTTATCAGCAGTAAGCGCTCAAGTCGTTTCGGGCCCGATTTCGAGAGGCTGATTAAGAGAGCCTTTGCCACGACTACAATGCCCCTGACAGTTGCTTCGATAATGGCAACGGCGAAGCGACGGCGAAGCGACGGCGAAGCGACGGCGAAGCGACGGCGAAGGAGGAGGAAGCCAAGCCGCGATAGTAATGGAATGCTAAATCGCCTAGGCGTCGTCATTGTCGCGAATGCACCGCACGACCTCTTGCCGCCGCACGTCTGCTTACACGGATGAAGATAGACGATACGAGGAATGCATTTTACCTACGTGTATGTGTGGGTGTTGCCTCGGGTTAGAGTACCCGGGGCGCAGTGTTGTAAGACGCGCGCTGCGCGATCAGATCGACGATGCTTTCTGACGAGCCCTGTCATTTGTGTTGGTGTGGGAGGTCAATTCTACGTAACTTACGTGTCCTCGGTTTTTTTGAGAACGCAGCTTTTCTATTCTATATTTCATTGACGCCGGATTTAGCAGCCGGCTAAAACCAAATCCGTCGAACAAATTAAAAGCTCTTCGCGACGTCACCCTCCTTGAAGCATTACTTATTCTTCGTTCGTCGTCGTCGACCCGCAGCAACAACACCATTGACCCCAAAACTTTTCCCACACCCTTGAGCGCGAATATTGTATTCGAGTAGCATAGACCTCACGAAAGAGAGAGAGAGAGAGAGAGAGAGAGAGAGAGTGAGAGAGAGAGAGATAACAAAGCTCGCTCAGATTATCCAAACTCCGCACACGGGGCATGTATAGGTAGAGCACAGGTTTTGGCTTTGAAGTGCTTGTCTTTCAACGCGGCATGACGGCATGCGTCCTCGCGCGCTTGTTAATAGAAAAGCGGAGGGGTTCTGTATGCCCGCATTGTATTTGAATGTACGTGGCGTATCTCTCACTCTGTCGCAGGGGCTTTGTCGTCCTCGCGCATACACACGCGGCTTAACCCCTTACTTCTCTTTCTCTCTCTCGTGGTATACAGAATCTCCTTTTCTTTTCGGCTTGTTTTCTTCTCGCGGTGTAGGCAGCAACTTGCGTTGTGCGTTTTACGTGCATTCTTTATGCCTTTATTGCATTGTTTTTTTTTATTTACCTCTCTTGACTTTTATCTGTTCTTCGATATTGAAGAAGTTGAGCGTACAAGTTTATTTATCTCATTAAATATGTGGACTTTACAATTGGCTTGAGCTTCAGCTTAAAACTGAAGAAAAAAAGGCATTGGTACGTTTCTGCTTGATTTTATATTATACATGAGAGAGGGAGAAAGGGAGTTTGTCTGCTTTCCTCTCGCGTAATGAGGCGTTCCATTCAAATGTAGTACGTAAGGGATTCTCGCGAAGTGTTCTCGCGCTACTGTTACGGTGCCATTATAAAAATCCTACTCTCTCTCTCTTACTTGCTGCGTTGAAGCTCTCACTCGGGGCTCGAGGCAATTTTTGTGCGTTTTTGTGTGTGCAACTGTCTGCACTGGTGCGAGAGAAAACTGGATTTTCATATACACCAGCGGACTTGCTGCGGGCCTTTCCAATTTCCTCTTCCGTCTACTTCCACCGCCGCCGCTGCCGTCTAACTATCATCTTTTCCTTCGCATGTGCCTCCAGCGATTTATTCCTTCAACTTGCGCGCGGTATTAAAGTTTTTTTCTTCTTTGCTGCGCGAAATTCCATTTCTCCGTTGCCGAGTTTGCGAAAATATTGTCGTTTCGCAAGTTTGAAGAAATGTATCGAGTTTATGGTATACGCATTGTGTTCGCCGTTCGGCAGACTGTCGGCTATTACTACTATGTGTGCTTTTGTGCGCGGTAAACGCAAATAGGTCGACTATTATCTTTACGCTTCGGCATTGAAATGCAATGAATTATGATATAATGCTCGCGTGAGAATCTCCGCTGTTTAATCGCTGAATATTATGGCTGACAAATGTCGAAGGTGCCTCGCGGCGACGTACTTAACCTCTCTATTATCCGTGTATTTCAAGGGGAAGAAGACTATGTGCGATAATGTAACGAATGGTGAATTATTACTCTCAAGAACAATGTAATTTAGGAAAGAGTCTCTTCACGCTCACCTGAACATCCTTGGTAAACTGATTATTGCAGAATATATGCACAGCCGAGAATTCTCTGACGTGATCGAATTCGAATTTAATCTCAAGCGGTTGTCTCTCTCTGGTGTCATTTCTCCAGCCAACCCATCCTTGCTCCTTGGTCGAGTCGTAATGGCTGAGTTTGAAATTATCAGGCCCAACACGACCGTCGGTGAGTTGGCCAAGACCATGGCGTAATTCATGGTCCCAGTAACCGTCGTACGCGGCGTCATAGAACTCCCAGTTGCCACGCTTGTCACCCTGGGGCATCGAGTAATACACGATACCGTCGTTCCATGGGCAACCGTATACTTCCACTCGCATGCACACCGTCCGACGATGAAAGCTGTACGGTAGAAAACGGATTTTTTGCGCCCAGATAGGCGGTTCCAGGCTGTGCTTTGACTCGAGGTACGTGTTCTTGTTGCCTTGAATTACCTGGAAGCAGAGATTGATTTGCGACTCATTAGATGATCTTCTCTTTCGATGAGATGTTATTTTATTGGATGGGCCGGTCAGACAGACACGCGAGTGCACAGAAAAGCCTATACTACCAATGAAAAATTGCAAGCAATGATACGTTCGTCATAGATACGTCCAACAAATAAATGTTTTATTCCTCGATTCGGATTCGGTTATTTACGTGCGTATATATGGCTACGATTGAGCAACAGCAGCAGCAGTGAGAACTAATATCAATGGCAATACCGTAATTACAACTCTCCTATAATTCACTAGATTCAATTACAGCCTCCCTTCGCTGTCTAATTCAACAAACTCCCAGCCATAATTAAACTGGAAATCAAGAGAGGGAAAAAGTCTGCGTACAGCGATTAGATATCGCAGAAAAAGCACACGTACGTGCGCCAACTTTCCCGTATACGTATTTGAATCTCCATTGGATTCGAGTGAGAGCGGCACTTTATTTTGCAGGTGGAAAACCGGAACCTCCCGCCGCTACATGCAACAGTAGTGGCATGCTTGCTTATCGCAGTGGCGCATCTTGACAAGCCGCCGTAGCAGTGGCAACGCGACAATGGACTTTACGGCGCCTAGTTATTTCAGAACGTGCGGCACCGTTATTAGTGTGGCCGCGCACATTTATATATTATATTATCCGCTGAATGATTTGTGAGGTGTGCGAACGACGCGTGTTTTTCGTTGCGAATATCATTTTGTCGAGTATAGGAGTGATTTTTTACGAATTCAATAAGTTTTTCTTGTTTTTAACGTGCATCACTTCAAACAGAAATACAAGCAAAGAACAAAAAAAAAAAAGAAAGGTAATAACGAGAGCGAATAAAGAGAAATAAAAGCGCTGCTCGTCAGATAAATTACAAGTGGCTCTTGACGTATTTTTTAAGATACTTGAGAGACCTAGTTTTAACAGCTGACTAAGGCGCTTATCAATGCCTGCGAGGCGAAGTTTGGTAAAAAGTATAACGTCACCGAGGAACTGGAGTTCACGACGGGTATTTGACTTTCCGAAATAAGAAAAGAAATAAAAAGAAGGAATTGTCTCGTTGAAGCAAGCGCAGCAGCGGCTCATCTGCGGTGTAGTTGCACGAGTTTGCACCTGTGCTCTCGCGAGAGTTTTAAGCCCGGAGTCACGTCGTTCGAGCACACGTGAGAACGAGCTGCCGCTGCCGCTGCTGCTGGTCGTAGTCATCGTTGCTGAGGTCTCCAGCGGGCTCATAAGTGGAAAATAAGGAGAGCCTTTGTTCCTCTCGAGCAAACAAACTCTCTCTCTCTCTCTCTCTGAGTCCTCCTTGTCGTTTGTTCGTTCGTTCGAGGATCTCTGATGCTACCGAGCGATAGGGGACCTCTGCTGCCGTTGCTGCTGTTTCTTTTCCTTTCGACTCTTAGAACTCGTGGGATGCACACTTTTCTTGCTCTTGATCTCTCGCCGTGCACTGCACGTTTCGTATGATGTTTAATGGGCGATTCAAAGAATGTGGGCGTTCAATTCTTTTTAGTTCGATCTAATTGACGGAGTGTTTTAAAGTAGACGCAGGATGTGCTAATCAAAATGGCGTTTTGATTTATAAAAAAAAATTTCTTTTATTAAGTGACCGTTGGTTGTGCGGTTGATACAAGTGAACTTATCGAGGGCAAAGAATTCGACTCATTATTTCAATCCTCTTACGATTCTATTCGACACTCGATATACTTTATTTAAAATGCCAACCAACTCGACAGGCAAAAGAATATTATTTCGAGCGCAACAGCAGCAAACCCTTTGACAAGGAGAGAAAGAGAGAAAGCAGCCAGCTAGCTCATCAATAGGTTCCATTCACTCAGCCGACAATCCAGAAAAAAGTCACGACTTGACAATACGCGAAAAGAGCGAGCGAGAGAGCGCGCCCGGCCAAGTAAAAGTACGGAGCATCAGAAAAATGCGGCGTCATCAGGAGAAGTGCTTCCGCAACGCCACCGACATTGCACACACACACACACACACTAAATGTAAAAGGCAATCGCAAGACAGGAGAAAAAAAAAACGAGGCGAGCACTTCGCTCGCGCGCGTCTTGCTCTATTAGCAATTCTCAACTGTTGGAAAATGTCGAAGTTGCCCAAAAACGTCAATTATCATAGAAGCGAGTAATTTAACGCAAGAGCTACTGCAGAGGTCGTTCACTTGGCAGTAGCGATGACAATATCACCAGCGAAGGAAGTGACTTACGACTCTTTGCCGCTCGATTTCGTTCTCTCCAGTTTTATAGTGGTAATTTGACGTTTTATGCAATTTCGGGTGGTTGAATGAAATCTACCCAGGAAATGAGATTGTCGTTTCTTAATTTATCTCGAATGTCAACTGTAAACTGATGAAAAATTTTCAGACTCGCCTCAAAGAGGCATTTTTACGATCATTCGAGATATTTAAGAATTATAGATTATCGAATGAATTTCGCCGTAGAACACAGCAAAAGAAAAAGATAATTTGATGGTACAATGAAGGTAAAATTAATCAGACAAAGTGCGCAGAAACAAAAAGTGCAAAAAAAAAAACAAAAAAAACAGGAAAACAATCGCGCATGTAGCCAGCATTGTGCACGGCAATCACGGAGGCGCAAAAAGAAGAGGACAAAAAGTTGCGAGTAGCGCGAAAGAAAAGAAGAACGAAGCGATAATGATACGTAAGACGGAAGTAAGAATGACGGGCATCTTATTTATGGCGTGCGGTCGGCAGCAACTTGCTTGTTTTTATTTCTTCCCCTTTTCAGCTTGCGCGTTGTTGCTTTTTTTCGTCGTCGTCGTCGTCGTGTAGTCGTGTCTACTATATGGGTGGGTGAGTGAAAAATCGTCGCGAAAGAGGCTTAGACATTGTTATTTACGGAGATTCATTAATATTCCCGCAGCCGATGTTAGGTTTTCGAGAGCACGAGCGCGCCGTATGAATTATTGATGGTATATATGGAGCCATTTAGCACATATAACGCTCGCTCCCCGATAAAACATTCGACTGCACGATAAATATTTTTACAAACGAGGATTAAAACCGTGCGATCCCGAGAAAAAGCTTAGTTCGTAACATTTTGCGTGAAAAGAACGTGAAACTAATTAAAACTCGCTGCCCATTATCAAGTGTAACGTTCAACAGTTGATAACGTATGCTAATGAGGTTCGAAAGCATGCAAGCATTTAGCGTAAATATAAACTTAATAAACCCAGGGTTAAAAACAACGAACAGCAGTACGAGTCGCCAACAAGCAAGTCTAATTAGCATTATTCTCGGGATTGTGCCGTTAAGTGCCGATATTAACGATTGTCCGTAAAAGATACGATACTACGCGACCAACCGAGTACCGGAGTTACAGATCGATTTTCTCTTTAGAGAGGAAATTTCATTTAATAAGTCGGCCGGTGATATACAAATATAACCAGGTTGTTTGACGTTTCAACGGCCCATACAGTCCGACGTACAAGTGTCGATTGTGAAATTATTACGCATATCCGCACAAATTAAATGCCGAGAGATATCTACATCTGTCTTCGTTTTTATGACGGATCAATATATACTCTTACGTAAGAATTATTAAATTTTCATTTACTTTGGACGAACATTAAAATTCAGTCCGTCACATAAGTGATCTCGAAATATTTTTTTCATAAAATTTCCCTGCATTTCAATAATATTGAGCATTAGCATTAACTTTCTAATCAGAGTTTCAAAATACGTTCAATACCACTTTGCTAAACTATTTGCATCATACTGAACTGAAGATTCATAAATTATATATGTTTATGAGCATAAAAGTTTCATACTAAATGCAAAGCAGTACAAATTATAAAGACTATATTTGTAGATGTCGAGTGTACTTCATTAGGCATAGTTTCTCGTGTTTAAACAAGAAATTTTATGTTCCTGACTACAATTATAATTTTGCAAAATGAAGCATAAATATATTCTTCTATAACGTTATTGTTTTACTTCGATCAATATATTCTTATCAAATCTCACCAATTACTACACAAATATCCGAAACCTAAATGAGTTATATTCCTCACAGCAATCAATCGCATGCGTTATTCGAAATTTTATCAAGTCAACCGAGAGACTTGGACCATCGTGGTTTTCGGACGTTGACAAATTCAGGGTAACCTGCGGGTGTGGCCATCTATATCGACTAACGCCTACGTTATGTTCATATTCCACAGATATCGTCCTTTACCAAATCGAGAATCCAAGTTATCCCTAGAATCGATTGAGAAATTAATCTCGTTGTGTCAACCGTGTCACTCACGAATGATGATGGATTCATTGAAAATAAAAAAAAAAAATAAATAAAAAAACATAGAATATGAAACCAAAAGAGGAAACAGACCGCGTGATTGGATTTCGTGCGCGTAGCCTGTTATATACTTTCCGTGCTGAGCGCAATGTTCATGCATGAATAATTAATAAAGACCAAACACATATACACACAGCACAATCGTCGCCTGCGGCATGAGCTCTTAAATCATAAATAATAAATACTCTCACGCGCGATAACCAACGTTCTTGCTTGCCCGGCCTGTTCCTTTCGGACAAGTTCAGTCGTTAGTTGCAGATTAAGCTTGCGATAAGCTCCCGCACTGGTGCGCAAAGCGCCTTTGTTTAATTGCGCGACAAGAATGTCATTAGCGGCGAATAAGGGAGAGTATATAATGATGCTCTACTTTCTGCCACTTGATACTTAAATATCGATGCTTTTTGTTCGCTGTGGGTGGATTCCGAAAGCTTCTAACAGATTATCACGCACCACGCCATAAATATACTCGATGTTTACTAACAATTCGACGTGCCACCAATTGATAGAGGTAGCGCAAATTTTCACAGCGAAAAATAACCGAAAAAACTCACTTTGTCTTCGTGTATTCTGTCGCCAGTTATTTAACGCCGACGAGCGCTGATTAATAAATTAAAGCGCATTATTTTTCAACGCCTGTGCTCTCTGATTAGAGAAATCACTTTACTGAGTAGCTATATAGCAGAGAGCGTCGTATGAAAAGTCTCGCGGGCTCAATTTAATTTTGCTGGGCGTTCTCTCTCGCCAAAAACTAAAAAATCCATTAAATAGAACGCTCGGTCGTTAATCGCCAAGTTACAATTAAATTCGCGCTCGCAGCAGCGGCGAAAGTAATTATAACCGAAGCCAAGGGAGTTTAGTTTGACCTCACCTATCCCCCCCCCCCCCCCCCCCCGCTCAGACAGGTAGGGCAAAAGCACACGCGACCCTTTCAGTCAGACCCTTCCCTTATTTTATCGATCGCCGACTGTGCAACTATAACGCGTGGTAAGTTCCTTTTTTTCTTTCCTTACGTAGCCTGTCTATGGTAAGTTTGTTTATCCGACCTAAAAAAAGCTCTGTTTATCTTCCAGAAAAGCTGGAATTCTTCACGGTCACTTTTTACGTCGCCTGCTCGCTTCTCATATCCCCCAAATTGCTCGAAGTTTTTGAGAGACTCCCCTCTCAAGGAATCGGCGGAAAAAATATTTGTTTCCTCTTGCCCATCAAGAAGAAATATCGCTCGAGTGACATAAGAGTTCATTTTCATACGGATGATTTTTTTATCGCGAGTATACAGGCCATTACCATGTGGGAAGCCTCCTTTCTTCTTTTTTTTTTTTAGATGAATGGTCGTTTTCTCAGTTTGAAAGAGTAAGAGACACTCTTTCAAGGGGTAACGTACTCGCCACTGTTCTTTTCGCAAGCTGTGTGAAATTCATTGAGAAAAAAATATCTCGTGGATACGTAACTTCATAACCGCGTTCTGTCTGCACATTTCTTCTAAAACTTACTCTAGCATTAATTAAATCTGATATGTTATAACACAGAAAAGAATTCAGCATTGGAGATTCCAGTTTGACATAAGAGTGATTTCTTGTTAATAATATTGAATGAAAAGTTATTAATTAGTATCGGAATAAACTTATTTTCAACATTACTAAGAAAGTGTCATAACCCAAGTATCATGTATTAAGAGACCGAGAGATATATATGGTGAAAAAGAAAATTGTTCCAATAACTAAAATTTATCGTATTAAAACGTTCGAATAGTAAAATTTTGCAAGCTCGCTATTTACCTCCTCTCCTTGGACATCTCTGTAGCGAACCCACTTGCCACCTAGCGCTGGTCTCCAGTACTCAAGCAAATAAGCTTCAGCAAACTCAACACCCTGACCATTGCCGAAACGTCCTTGAGAGCCAGTTGCCGTGATGACGTGAACTCTGCGCAAATCGATCTCGATCCATTCGGTCGTCTCGGTAGTGATCTGCGACTTTGGACACCATGCACCGCCGTTGATATCCTGACCCAGTCTGTAACACACGTCAAGTCAGATTGCTACGATTAGATAAAGGCTCTTGCACAAGAGACCTATTTATTTGAGATAAGCGACCGCTAATTTCAGAGGCAGAAAAAGAGAGAGTTGGCGCCAGCTCTGCCGGCTTGTTTATACCAGTTCGTGGTTTTCATTACACTGTAAGTATGTGCAAGAGCAAAGGTGGACATTTATTGCGTCGTTGCAAGTTCGGAATGCTATACGATGTAGTGCTTTTGTACATGGAATTTGTAGTATGTAAAAAATAAGAGGCTGTTTTTTCAACAACGATGATCGCTAACACTGAATGGAGAACAATATTCTAGAATAATATCTGCTGAACCAAGGTTATCGTTTTGTTGATTATGATTATTGCAATTGGGTTCACATTATTTGACAGCTTGACGCTAACGAGGATCAAAAAGCAGTAATCAATTACAGAGTTATTCAAAAGAAACATTAGGTTCCGAAAATTCTGAAAATATCAAAAGCAAAAGTTAAACGTATTCTCCTACGTGGAAAAGAAAAAAGAAACGAAAAGAGGTTTCCGGAAAAAACTCACCCAAAAAAGCTAGAAATCTATCCTACGAAGTAGATATCAATACGAGCCAAGCCCAGTAGCAGTGGTAGAAAATCATACATCACACACACACACACACACACACACACACACACACACACACACACACACACACACACACACACACACACACACACACACACACACGCACACACACACACACACACACACACACACACACATCTGTCAATCGAAAAGTAGGCAAAAAGCCAGAATACGCGATGAAATAATAATTTATCGATTGGGAATTCGCGGAAGCGCTAGCGCAGCTATGAATAAAAGATGAGGCGCGAGGGGAGGAGAGAAAGGTGATAGTAGTAGTAGAGAGGGCCACTTCGATTGCTAATTGTGTAGCTTCCTAACGCGTGCGCGCGAGAATTGGAGAATTCGCCGCGGGAGAGAAACAAAGCCGAGAGAGAGAACTCTGCCGGAGACAGACAGTTGATGGGGAGGTAAGATAGGCGCAACCGAGCAACAAGCACAGCATAGCAGGAAACACGCGCGAGTGACGAGTCGAGAGTCGAATTAGTTTGACGTATACACATCAAACACTGCTATAACTCGGCACTAAAATATTTATTTTACAGGATCCCGCAACAACATTAGCGCGCGCGCGCCTAATTTTTACACCGTTACCATAGCGCATAACAATCGCGTATGCGTACTAATGAGACGTTGTTTTTTTCACAACCTTCAACCCTAATTGCCCTCAATTATTGCTCGTTCACGCCTTCTTTGTCAGCTCACGCCGAGCTTTCTTCTTCTCTGTCTCGCCCGTATTTTGACCACTGCTCTCGCGCATTTTACGACTGCAGCTCCTTTTGTCTCCCGCAGACAGTCGTCGAAAAGTCCACTTGGATCTGTAGCGCTCGCGGCGCGCTCTAACCTTTATTGACACTCGAGAGAGAGAGAGAGAGAGAGAGAGAAAGCGCGTGACTTCGCATAAAGCCTCGCGCACCTCCTCCGCGATCTGGGGGCGCGCGCAAGTGTCGCGAAGATTTATCGGTCCGCGAGGCGAGGAATGTCTTTGAAGCGCGTATCAAAGTGAGCTGCAGCTCGCGTCTAGCGGTACAAACCGCCCTTATACCGTAATGGGCTATGAGTTATGGCGCGCGAGTGCTTCAAAGGCTTCCATGCATGGACATTGGCCGCCTAATTCTAAACGCTTGGCAAGCCTAATTTCGACCCCCACGCTCCACATGTGTGCACGTGTGTGTAAGAGTTGCACGAGTGGCACCGTTCAACTTGTCGTGAAAGCCGCTTTGCTGTCCAGATATTTTCTTTTCGTGGCCAACGCTGTAAGCGACTGTTAATGACCGACGCTGCTTGCTAGCTTGAGGATGGATAAGTTTACATGCGCTCAAACAGTAATGGAAATTACTTGAGATGCTCAATTAATACATCGATATTTGCTATGTAATTCAACTTCGTAGAAGATAATATTAGTGGAGCTTGCAAGTACCTCTATGTAGCGCAATGTCGGGCTTTAGACATTGCAGCTTCATTCATTAATTCAACGCGATGAACTCAGCTTAGAGTTACTTTGAAAACGCTCGTAATCATATTCGATAAATGACGATCACACACGCGCAAGAGCTGAAATGACTTGCACACTGTGACACTCACGCACACGCGCGCAATGTTGCCTCGAAATCCCCCAGGTTTAATTCGATAATCACGTATACGTTGCATCTGTCTGAAGAGAGGTAGAGGAGCAAATGAGCGCCAGCCAGTCGCACAATACGTCATCGGAATTTCCCGCTTGCGCTCGCTAGATCGAGATAATTATGCTGCAGCCGTAATTAGAGCAAACGCTTTTGCTTTGCACGAGCAAAGGCGTCTTCGTAGTCTCTCTGCAACTTTAACAGATGAAAGATAGAACGCGTATATTTTGTCAAAGCTTTGGCACTAAGCTCGAAAAATAATACCAGAGATATATACTCCTCAACATTATTGTTATTTATTAAAATCAAAGATATATAGTGCATAGTCGTAGACTTTTCTAAATAAATCGCAAAGCGATTGCCACACTATCAAGCTCAATAAAACTTTCTACACCGACGATGCATGAAAGAATTTAAAAAACCACAAGTGGACGATTATCAGTCTCAATGTATGTATGACGGCATTTGACAGACAGTCATTTTTTATCGAGAACGGACGGACTTGCACGCAAGCAAGTGGAATAAGGATGAAGCCTACGCGTCTGCACATCATTAATCCTCATTGCCGGACGTAGCTGGCGCAGGTTGTTGCTTTAACGATATTACGTTGCAAAGTTTCATCGACGAATCTTGAATTTTTACACGCACACCAAAAACTAAGCATTTTTGCCAATTAGACGAATGTGAAAGCGTGTAACTGACATGCGTTATTTGTATTCGTAATCAACAATAATATCAACTTTATCGCGATAGAAAGCTCACCTTTATGGAGACCTATATATGCAAATTAAGGAAAACGTTTACATTCGGTCATCGTACAAAATACTTTACGATGAAATTTCGCTAAACGCGAGACAAAATAATGGTCGCAAGCGCGACGAGGAATTTCCATAAAGACCGCGCGCGTCTCGCATTAGGTATAGGCGTAATAAATAGCATCGCCGTGTGGCTGCCTGTTTTATCGTTGCCGACTCTGCATGCTGCTTTTTGAAAGCAAATCTACGGCCCACGCGGTTTGCGCAGCCCCCCCCCCCCCCCCGCTCTGAATAGCTTTCTACTCTTTTTCGTCATTCATTTTCAATAACACTCCTACGTCTCATTATTCGTGGATCAAAATTATATTTTTGTTCGCGTATGTAGAATTTCGTACAGCTGCTCACGGTTGGTTTATGGTGATCGTGGATATGTGTTTATCGATAATCGTAATTTTGCAGAAGTCATGATACATATTAATTCAACAATTTTTACGAGCTTATTGCAAAAACATATAGGCTTTTTGAAATTGTTAATGGCACATCTCATTTTCATATTATTGTGTATTGTAGATACAACACCAAAAAAAAAAAAATTATTCTCGTTTGTTGATATTGCGAGTATTCCCTCATGAAGAATAAAAAAATTTATCTCTCGCGCGGAAAATTTTCACTTGCGGCGCTGATGAAAGACACACAACAGCGAGAGAACGAAAACGAAAAAGAAACTAGCGCACGGACTGCCCGATAAAAATGCCAAATGAAAAAAAAAAACACCTACCAAGATGAGTATATGCATACCATAGAATGAGATGCATGTACATACCGTCCGTGATGAGGGCCGACGTTACCGCTATCGAAACTGGAACTGGCAGTGATGTCAGTGTCAGGAATCGCTCCCGAGCCCATTCCCAGAGGGCCGATGCATTGTGCTAAAACAGAAGAAAAAAATATTCAGTTGAAAAACACGTGTACTGTTAATTAGTATGGATGATTTTTTATCTCCTTCTCCTTCATTGTACTCTTCTCTTTTTCGTTTTCGTATACTACTATGGGTATCGAATTAATAATTTTTTCATGTGCCTTGTTCTACGTTTCTTTTTCATTTGGATCTGCGTATAATGAAATGTTACGCAGCAATCATAATTTTCGTCTGTAAAAAATAGTTTTATTAGATCTTCCTAACTTGTAATTAAATCTCAATGCTAAATATCACTGTTAGTGAAAAACTCGATATTTCAAACGAGGCATATACATGGCAAAAACTATTCTATTAACTGCAATTTGAATATTTGAGCATCCATTATTTTCAGTAAACTAACGCCAGAGTAGAGTAAACTGTCAGAAACAACAGATGGCGTACCATTACTCACAATTGACAGGTTTCCAATGTACAAACTCAAAATGATTATTCCAAAGCAACCCGAAAAAGCCGGAATAAAAGGTTATCAATATAGCTCGCTCGTTAAATATGCAGAATAGAAGCTTCCGCAAAGTGATTAGGTAGTCGATTTATTTCGAAGGTTGGCGTGTTTTGTCATTTACTTAGACACAATGCATGACAACTCGGTTGACGTGGCACCCACGCTGAAAATAGCTTAACTGCGCACACTTGGACTTCCTAAAACTTTTAACTAAAGCAACACACGAAAATGAGGCAGGAACTTGGTAAACGGATACTAAATCTATAACTGGCTCCGAACCGTCAATTAACTTAAAAATAAAGCTCGAGCGAGAGATTGATCGTTGCACGGAAAAATTGTTTTTTTTTTAATTTTAATTACTTTATTAGCCGGCGCGAGATGAATTTTTTTGGACGGACGCGCGAGAGAGATCTTGATAAAATTTGATGAATCACCTTGTGCACCCAAGGCAGTTTGTCGCAGTGGTGGCAGAACATTCACTTGGCCCGCGCACGCGGCATTATAATATCTACTTAGGGAAATGGGAGTCAGCGCCAGAGACAAATTTGCAGCTCTGCTCCAAGAATCACTTTTAAATGCGAGCCTCTAATCTTTCCCAAAGCGAGCGATGGTGATACACGGTTGCGCCACGATAATCCGTTTTGGTGAACTCTTGCGTATATAATCCGACTGGAAATAATGAAGGTGGGGTTGATTCCGCGCGTTTTTCGTGGGGCAATTTTTCAGAAGGTGCGCGGCCATATCAAGAAAATTACTTGGCTCTGATTAATGGCACGCGTGCTCTCACTCTCTACCGAGTTTCTCATATTTTTCTCCCTGTGAGGCGTTCCCTTTTTCTTTTTTGCGGCGTCAAAACTTGTTTCACGCATCCCTGCGCTGCGAGCAAGGTGAAACCTTATACGTTGATGTGGGGGAGGTTGAAAAAAAAAAAAAAAAAAAAAATTGTGCGGATAAAACCGAAGCCTTTGTTTTTGACTTGGCGAAATTATATGCGAAACCGATATTACGCTCGCTGGGCACACTTGTAAAAAAAGTATCCGCGGTATGCGCATGCAGACGAGAGCAAATTCTTGAGCTTTCGTACATGCTCCGCGAGGTTCGCTGAGTTTGCGGTTTCAATTTGCCACGAGGCAATGGTACTGTATTTTCTAGGCCGGCAAACTCTTACCCAACGATTAATTGAGTTTGTCGTTTGAAATTCATTTTTCAAAATTCATTTTTCAAAATTCATACCGATGGATAAAGGTAGCACGGCTATTTGTATTTCAAATACAGCGGCGACGGCGACGCAAACGAAGGGAAATGAAGAAATTAAGTATGAAAAGAACGTAAAAGTCCCCACTCTACGATATCGCTTATTCAAATTCCGTCCGTATAATGTCGAGAATAATGAGAATAATAGCGTCGTCTCTAGCGATAAATACTCTCAACCGAGAAAATTCAATAATAAAATAATAAAAAGAGAAAAGGAAGTTCGGAAGCTCGTTCATAAAGGTCTAAATAGGGGCGAGAGGGCAGTATTTAAGTAAATTTCTGGCTGTTTTCCCGGTAGCCGCGGCTACGCCAGCTGTTGAATAATTCAGTCCAGCATATGGATGGAAGAAAAGATAAATAAAGAAGGCTCCTGGGCGGGCGTTGTTATGTAAAAAAGACTTGCGCGCGCATACAACAAAGCATTTTCGCATTAGCCTACGTGTGCAATCGATTGGCGCTGTTCGCTTCCGTTCACTCTCCGCGCAGAGCCGCATTTGCAAGAGATGCACGTTCGTTACATACCTTCTCGCTTTGCGCGCGAGAACTTTCTATATAGACTGCCAGCAGTAGTTGCTTTTAGCAGGGGACAGAGGCTGCCGATTTCGTGCGCGGCCGCTAAACTTTTTTTCTCCCCTGAAAATCAATTTATCCCATTTTCGCGCGCAAAGTCAGCAAAGTAGCAAACTTTGCCGCCCCATCCGATGTAAGGATTGAAGATCCAACTGCCACGGGGAGACGCGAAGATAGTGTTTTATCCGAAAGACGTACGCGGCTTGGAATTAGCGTATGCGATGGTCTCTTGCACTGGCCGTTGGGAGAAGCAAGTTTTTTACAGGTTATGCAGGGCAGAGAGGAGAGAAAAACGGGAAAACGAGGCGGTTATCAATTTGACAGTGAAGAGCATTCAATTTCCCGGGGCCGTTCGCTCGCGCGCCACCCTTCCGTTCGTGGACTGTCACTGCAGCGAGAGTTATGGACGAGGAGGGCGGGCAAACATCGCATAACTTACCGTCTTCTACGCTCTCCCGCTCGCCTTCTTCTACTTCTTCTTTTCCAGGATGTCTATAAATACGGGATCGAACGGGAGCGTGGCGGGCTCTTTTGGCCGCGCGCTACCTCGTTTTTGCATCTAACAGTTGGCGCACGCGCGATACGTGAGAATTAAGCGACAAGTGCGAGACACACCAGACAAACTAACAAAGAGATCTCGCGTCGACGACGTACGTGAGCGGACTCCGCGCGAATGAAAATAGATGGCGAGACGGAGTCGTACATCCAGAGAGTGAGAGACGATGATATTGTATCGCGCGCGACCAAAATTATTGCCTACGGTGTATTAATTTCCCACGTGACTGATTGTCCTGCCAGAGTAGAATCTGCCGAAAGCACTCTGTGGAAACTAATGGAGTTCTTTTTTCCGTCGCAGCCAAACAATTTCTCGTTCAATACGAGTGGGTACTGCAGTAATTGTTTTCCAAAGTGACTGCCGTTAAATCAATACTGACCGAACGGAGCCTGCCATTTTTTAAAGCGAATATCAAAGCACTGCAAAGAGAGAAGACAAACTAAATAGGGAGGGAAGAACGAAAGTTAATTCAAAGCAAAAGCTCATCTAAATTTGGTATAGCTATACGCTCGCGCTGTGTCGGCCGATTTTGCGTGCAGCTCTACGGCACACGTGTGTGCTTCGCCGGGGCTGCTGCTTTTATGGTTTCATTCCCTTCAGTCTTCAGCGATTTCTGCGGTAACGAGGCAGAGCGAGTTTCTCGCGCGCGCAGTTACCGGAGATTTAAAACTTTCCGGTTTTTTTCTTTCAACTCGGTTGGCCGCCGCGATTAGAAGCTCTTTTCTTCGACCGCTGCTCCTCCAGAGAGGATTACTTTCGAGTTTGCAATCCTTGTTATCGGCTTTTCAACTCCGTCGATTAATTATTGCAAAACCCATTTGTCGGACGAAAAATAAGAATCGCGATAGAGGCCTCCGAGATTGTGAATCATCCATCGACTTTTCCGCGCGGGTATACCTTATCGATCAGATGGGCTTGGCGAATAAATCAGGCGCGAAACGTAATCAACGCTCTCTCGCACGAGAGCTGTAAATTCTCATTGCGCTCCTAGATTTTCCTACGAGAGTCTGATTTCGACCCCATTCTTTGTGTTGTGGGCAGGCAAGCTGGAGTTCTGATTATTATTAACGAGCGGTCGAGCAGCCCGCGCACCGCCACGAGAGAGATGCTAATTAATTAGCGGCCTGCGCGCGCAGCTGATGTTCTTCGCGCTGCCGAGCCGGCTGCGAGCATGTTTCTAACTACTATTGACGCTTCGTTAATTATCTCGGAGCGGGGCTATGGATCAATCAGTTATCATCACCTTTGCCGAGATGGTTGGTAATTCAATTATCAGCTGATCCACAGTTGCCTTATTATTGGCACGCAACGCAGCAAGAGCAATTTCTTGAAATCGCTGCGTTTTCCATTCAAGAGAAAACCCTTTATTAACGTGGGATAATTTTCCTAAGAATATTATAAATTGATGCGAAGGGGTGGATCGGCATTCAGCTTGAAAATGAATCCGGCTGTACAATTTGCTTTTTGTTGTAGGTCGTACTTGTCTGTAATTTTTTTGCAGCGTCGGTCTCGACCGAACACACAAAAAAGGCAGGAGGCAAGTAAGCGGAGCCTTATTAACGTGCGATATTAAAGCATAAATCGCAACTCACTTAAGGATTAAGCCGGTTTTCGTTCTGGGCATGCGCTCGTGGCTAAGGGTCGAACATAATTTCCTCTTAGGCAAAATCATTTCCGCTTTCGCGTAATTACGCGCGAGAAATTACTTAGCCGCTGCCGCCACGAGGAAGAACGCAAGCAAAAACAAGCCCGGAGAGAGCTTAAAGTTCGCCTTTCCCTCTACTTTTGACAAATGACGTTTCTCTTATTCTCCGACGTTCAACTTTTTCTGGCGCTCTCCGTGGTACATAATCGTCGTGCTTACAAGATTTCCCCACTACAACGTCAGTGTTCACCAAAGACGCGCGTGCGCGCGCGCGCTAAAGTTTGGAATTGCAGTTTGCTCGAAATTATCGAATTTCGCGCGCGACGCAGCAGCCCATCGGACAAACTACGAAAAATCGGGTTGGTCTTTTTTAACGAGAAAACTTGACGCGCGAAACAAGTAAATTCTCCGGGCGTTGCGCCGCGGTGGCGGCGAAATATAAAATATGTATGCGGTCTTCCTACCTCGTAAAACACTTGCGCG